ACGTTATCAGATATGGCTCAGAATAGAAGCAAGTGGCGATCCTGCTGTAACCTTCTTTTACTTTCTTCATAAAAAGTGGTTGTGTCTCCCTTACCTGAAAGATTTCTCCTGATTGTACCTCGTTACTACCACACTACCTTACACCAATCCCTTCGTTATTGTTCTCTTTTTTGCGCTCCTTAGCTTTTTTTTCTATTTCTCTTCGAATTCTCATTGTTTTGTGTGGCGCATATATATTGGCGCTCTCTTGTACCAATATTTATGTGTTCAAATAAAATAAATAAATAAATAAGGCAAAAGTAAGAGAAGTAAATAAAAGAAAATATTGTCCTGGGAATCGTAGGTAGACATCAAGACCATGAATACCACTTGTCAACAACTAGAGAAGAGAGTCCAAGACAGAGCTGGTTGGAGAACTATGTTCCGGAACGGTAACAGGCCAAAGCGAATACTCATAAAATTAGATAATTTGATGAATGACATAATATCCACTCGGGAATAAAACATTGTTAGGCTTATACAAGCATGTATCACAGGTCGATGTTGAAATTAAAACTTGATGAATTCATAGATTAAATTCTTGTGGCAAAATAATATGATAGGTCTGACCAATGTAAATAAAAAAGCTAAGATCTGATTCAACAAACTGTTGAGTAAACACCAAATAAGTTGAAGATTTATCGATGTGATCATCTTAACTAACTTTCTGTAGATCACAAACTAACTGAAGTGAAGGACCATTACCCCTTTAGGATATATAATTGTGCATAAAACAAACAAGCTTAAACTTGTGTTCATTTAGTTTTTTATTTATTTTCATTCGCTGAAAAATCCCTTACACTAAGTCATGAAACGTAAAATATTTAATTTTATATTCAATGGAATTTTACAATAATATGAATTCTATAATCAAGTCAAAACTTAGTAATGACACTCACAAATAAGCCTCTGCCACGGAAGTCCTACTCACTGCCTTCTCGTGGAAGGGGTATTGTCTACGAAAATGAGAGGACGAAAAGCAAATGTCCGGCGCTTTAACCGGGTTGGTGGACATGAAAAGTCCACCTAGGGGAGTTGAAAAACCCTGATTCTAAACCAATGGTGCACATGGGCTCCAGTATCCTGAGGGAACAAATGGCGTATGAACCAGTCGTTGGTCGCCAGCTACCATGGGACTGCATCTCCTCACGAAGCTCCACTGACTTGTGGGTCAGACCTTTAGGTCAAAGGCTCCGGGTGTGGCCCACTAAGAAAACCACCTGCTTCGGTCTGGGCACCCGGGCAGTATCACAGCCCTCACACAAATCAAATGAGATTTGTGTGGCGCATATGTATCTGGTGCCCCCCTTGTACCAGTATTTATGTGTTCAAATAAATAAATAAATAACTTGTTGAACGACATTTATGTAGTCAACAATTAAATTCATCTCTACTCTAGTTTTGCGAAATACGTTAAGAAGTCATGTAGAAATCAGTCAATAAATCTTTGCTAGACGAAACGTTGGAATTATTTGAATTGCAATCGCTGAGATTATTTCAAATATAATTTTCACCTATAATGACTTCTCTATACGCTGCGCCCAATTTTTGTCAAACTATTCGTTCTAATATTGACGAATATTCGTATAAATATTCATTGTGATATAAACCATGAACAAACATTATTTACTTTTAACTCCCTAATTCAGTTTAAAATTTTACTAAAAAAACATTTCACAGCATCTAAAAAAATAAGGTTAAAAGACTGAGTGTATAGAGCAACAGGATTTTTGGAGCGAAAAACTCGAAACGTAACGTACACTAACTGTATATATATCTAGAAACATACACTCTCACGAAATGCAAAATTTGTTAGCCCACTATGTTACTGGGGCGCTGTTCCATACGTATGTAATTCCACACGGCATGAAGTATAAAGTACATTGAAAAATATGGTTTTGTTTCTAATCTTAAAATAAGCGATGTTAACCACACAAAAAGCAATCTTTCTGATAACTAACTCACAACACATCTTTTGTCTAGTGAGGTTACAGTTTACTTATGAAAATAATGACATTTTGTCATTTTTATATTTAAGAATAGCTTACAATTACTCTAAATTGAGCGACTGAAAGATCTCTTTTAATAACAGACGAGATCTATGACTTCTAGAAAGCCTTATCACCATCCCCCACAACGCTTCTATATTGATAACCTAACCCCAACGAGACCGAAGAGAGAACGTGGGAATTCAGAAAAAGCTTGACATTCCATCCAAGAAATCAAAATTGTGGCAGACGGAAGGCGAAAGCGATTGACCAGATAAGAGGTCAGTGGGGTGGAAGGGATTAAAAATTCACAAAGAACATCCGTGTTTGTTAGAACTACAACTCATTAAGATCGAGGTAATCTGAAGCCTTCCTAGCAGCATTTGACTTTCTGGTAAGTCAAGAAAAGGCGTGTTCATATTTGCTTTAACTAGACGTGACATTTTACGACGTTGGCTTTATTCCCGATGAGATATTTTAGCTACCGCAATGTTAATCTTATATTAGACAGTGTGACATTATTTCAGGTCAACATGTTATGTATCGATCAAGTGTCAATTCCATCCAATATAACAATTGCGGACTTTCGTTCAGTGTGACAACTATATGCTTGTATTGTTCTTTATGAACTTCGTATTTGCTTTACAGTAACCCTGTCTCTTTTTATTTATATGGTTACAAACATCATCATGGATGTACAAAATCAGTTTATAAGTGAGCGTATCTGTCGGAACGAAGTGTTTTGGAGAGTTAATAAATCTTCATTTTCACCAGTCTTCGGTGTTCTTAGTCTGCATTATGAGAATCACAGTGGTTCTTGATCACCATGTTTAAGCAGTTGGACCGCGGACACAAAGAAGGAGACACAAGCATAACAGTGGCAACAGGGTTAATTTATAAGTTTTACCAGTTAGACAGTGCCATTATATTTATTACAATAGATAGATAAAGGAACTCGTGTATGACTAGTGTTATAAATAAAGTCAAATTGTGGAAAAATCTATTACGTTGCTGTATAGCTCGAATAACATGCTTCTTTTCTAAACGAATAGAAGAAGGGTTTTTGGTTTACTCAGAGATAGAGAAGTTAATACAAAATTTCAAGGAAACATAAAGGTTCAAAATATGTAATAAACAGTATGTGTAGTAAATAATTGAAATTATATCTTACTCTACGATCAAAGGTTATTCCAAATTCACGCTCCAACCGAGTTAGTAAAGCTGCCTTGCAACTAGAATACAACATTCGGCCTTTTATTGGACTTTGATTGCCAGAAATTGTATGAATAAAAACTGAAACAGAAAGACGAACAAAAAGTTTCCTGAGAATAAAATTCATTATCAACAACTGCAAAACTTTACAACAGATAGGTCAATACATCCAAATAATAGCATCGTACACTAATTCTACCTGGATCTCGACAGTACTGACCAAATTATCACGCTGAAACTGATTAGGACGCAATTATTGCCACTTATCAATTAAAAATAGGTTGTTGACAATCACAGTCGCCCCCAAACGCTCTGGTATGGCCGAGAGTGCAAAGTACACCTACAAGACTGGCAGGATCCTAATCATGTACTCACCCTCGATGGTGAGCAGATAGAAGTAGTCGAGAAGTTCGTGTATCTAGGTAACTGCACAAGTGCTGGTGGTGGCATGAGTGATGAGATCACTACACGTATAGTGAAAGCCAGAGCGGCTTATGCCAATCTAGGCCATCTTTGGCGCCTTCGTGATGTCAGTCTGGATGATAAAGATCGGATCTACAACGCGTCGGTGAGAGCAGTTTTGCTTTATGCTTATGAAACATGGCCTCCCCGAGTTGAGGATGCTAGACGACTCTCTGTGTTCGATCATCGTTGTCTCCGAAGGATTGCTGACATCCAGTGGCAACACCATGTCAGTAATGCAGAGGTTCGGGATCGTGTGTTCGGGCACAGAGACGATAATCTAATTGGTGTCACCATCTTGAGACACCGACTTTGGTGGCTTGGACATGTTTTACGAATGTCGTCCCAGAGAATTCCACATCGTGCATTATTTGCCGACTCTGTGACTGGCTGGAAAAAGCGGAGAGGTGGTCAATATATGACACGACTCCCTGGTTGGGGTCCGAGAGATGGTGCGACACAGTGGCTAGAGACGTTATCAGATATGGCTCAGAATAGGAGCCAGTGGCGATCCTGCTGTAACCTTCTTTTACTTTCTTCATAAAAAAATTTGTTTCTTCCCTAACCGAAAGATTTCTTCTGGTTGTACCTTTCCGTTTCCCCCATTATTATTATTACACTACCTTACACTAATCTCTTCGTTATTGTTCTTCTTTTTTTCATTTTACGCTCCTTGCCTTATTTTTTTCTCTTCCCGTTCTCATTGTTTTGTGTGGCGCATATATATTTGGTGCCCTATTGTACCAATATTTATGTGTTCAAATAAAATAAATGACAATCGCAGTCGGACCTCCTGTGAGCTTAGTTCAAGTTATTCTTACGCAGTGACAACTGCTAATTAAAATCTATGTTAATGGCGAGAGAAAACTTGCGTATGATGAAGTCAAATTGGAATTTTTCGATACATTCAAACAAACTGAAATGACTGTTCACTAAGATATTTTGTCTAGATGTGCTTACTTGCCTCATATACTGATATAAATAGTAACATGACATCATTTAAATCTGTAGATTCATGTCTGACTGTATTTCAGACAGAATCTCCAAATCTTAAAGTTCAGATACTTCAGCTAATACTATTTTCGCTATTTATTTATCAGCCCTATCAAACACGTAACTCAAAAAAGGTCAAAACAAGTACGTTTGATCGATAATACAATGAAGGTGTTACTTTGTGACATTTCGACTTCTAGAAAAAGAATACTGATTTAAGAACAGGTTTGGGTCAGAAAACTTGAAAATATGAGAAACGGTAATGGATATTCAGGAGACCAGTACCATGGATGCTTCATTAGATAAGAGCGGATAGAGTATTTTGGAATACCTCAACAAAAGCAAAGTTAATGAAAATTTTCTACAGGAGTTCTAAAAAAGTACTTACTGAAATGCATGTTAAACTTACAGGTAGCAGAATGTTCCTCGCCTTCAAGCATATAACGGAAACGAAAAAGATGATAACGACCTTCTTTTTCTGGACAAATTTCTGCTATTTGTTTTGGCGTAATATGTTCACGAGTCCCGCAAACTTTGATAGTTTCACTAAGGATATCACATTTCTGGCAAAAATTACAAACAATAGGTTACGCAACAAAATACCAAGTCGTCGGACTACTTTTTACAGAGATTCAAAGCTACTACCATTATAACAGCTCTCCAACACTTAAGTTCGTTTACGTTCAATTTTATCAACACTTTCAACTAATTTAACAGAATTATTCGAATAGCAACAATTTTTATATCTCGGTTTTTTTATTACCATGTCTGCATGAACATGTATGCTTAATCACATGTGACAGCCTATGCACATATCCCTATCTCCAGCTCAGGTGTTAGTTGCCTAAGTCGTTCGATAAGTCATTCACTTCGCCATATATATATACTTGAATATTATTAATTTATTCGGCTTTTCATTTGATTCTGTATTCGACAATTAATCTGCCCATGTATTTGCTTGCTCATATTAGCGTTTCTGCCCGATTTTGTTTGGCGTGCCTGGGGTTTATTGATCTGTACTATTCGATAACAAACTGTAGTCGGCACTTCGTGTTGCCTTCTGAAATATATAAACCATCGGGATTAATTTAAAAACGGTTATCAGGGCATTCAATGTACAAAACATTGAGAATTATCTTGGAGATAATCCACTACACCACAACGGGTTAAGGTGTAAGTATTATGTATCAACGATTCATTTTCCCCATGATGATTGTACTCGAATTTCAAAGCAGACCTAAAGGTATAGGTAGCATCAATAACAAAAATGAATTATATCTTTTCTTGCCAAACTAAATTCTTTGTTTAACCTTCCTTAAACGTCATTGATACCACTCATATCCCAAGTTACCTAGGTGATTCAAATTGATGCTTACTTACCCCATGCTTTATGTTAATTATGACAGATAGTATTGAGGGTTAATGGCTTGACTGATGTAGGTGATAAGTGAGCCCTGCAATATACATTATTGTCGCTTCAAGTTACAGGTAGAATGGTATGAATATTTACTAAACTGCAACACAGTATAGACAAACATTTGTTGGTCTTTTACATGTATAGGAACTTATGTTATCAAAACTTTATCATACTCCTAAAATTTGTTTGCCATACCTTTTTATTGGCCGGGATAAAGCATATCATTTCTGCTTCTTAAATGAATGAGAAATTAGACAACTAAATATCACCAAACATAGAGAATAGAACTTTACAATGATTCCAAGTTAAAATGAAACCTCTATCAGCTTAGTAACAAACCAAATACAAACTATTCTACTTTTTATGGAAGTATAATTGCTTGAATATTCATTTGAAGTCTTTCTTATCCGCTAATTACAATAGAAGTCACCAGAATGTACTACCTACACGTCGTGAATTGAGAGATAATACAAAGAAAACGCCAGATCAATTATACCGAAGTACACTTCTATTAAAATGACATACCACCATAGTTATTAGCACGGTTTAAAATCAGCAACTAAACAAAATGAATTTAATAAACAATTTAACAGAGAAAATATAGGGTTTTGTAGTTTAATTTGTCATACACAAATTGATAGATGTTGAACACCGAGTCCATTCTATCTGTTGAGAACCAACGAATGGGTTTTTAATACAAATCCTAATACGGAATACCTCAGTTCAAATAGAAATGTCCGTGTGATGTGATATGACTCATTACATGCACGTAGGTAACATGGGCATACACGAAGCGACTTGTGTGACTTTGATTGTCCCTGTTTTCTTAAGTACCACTCTTAAAATAACGTTTTTCATCACAGAGTACAAGTAATGCATGCCATAGGTTAAGTATGTAATAATTTCGTTTCAGTGTTTAAAATCCCAACTAGAATGTAGAAGATCAATCTTAACTGTCTTAACACGTTTTACACATTGACCAAACTTACTAACTGAACGTAATCACACTCTCCCGAACCAAAATTCTTTAACACAGAGCGAGAATCAGGACTAAGCGCGAATGAAACACCACCGATTGTTTGATAGCTGGAATGCAGTCCAGTGGTCACCTTTAGGTATATGAATGAAATCTCAACATACTTCTCCTGTGTGTATGCCAGCCACCTCAATTTCAGCTTCAGTATAAGGTCCAGGTGCAGTTTTACTTTCCATAATTTTTTTATAGGCCCTTAAGTTCATTTCACCCTTAAAATGTAAGCAAGAATTACAGAACCTACCACACAATTTATTGTTATATCATCCTTAATTAAGTTATCTCCAAACTGCTTAAGAACAGTTGCTTTAGTGGCTGCATATATCGTTTTTAGACGCACCTAACGAATAGTTGAAGTGATATTATTACATTAATTCAACCAAAACCTACGTCAGAACTTTCAGGAACATAACATATAAAAATCCAGTCGCTTCCAAAAGAGTTGACGGAATCAAGACGATAAAACACATAACACGGAGAGCTGGCATCTAAAAGCTTCCCCATCGCAACATCAAAATCATCTTCCCAAGAACCTTTAGATGGTATTTTCATAAGTAAAACTATCTTTTCTTTATCTATGATGAGCTTCACGGCTCTATACGAAAGGCTTTTACAATCTGCTAGTTTAGATGTTTCATATGGGTCAGCTAAAAATAAATAAACCAACTAACAAAGTATTATTACCGTGAATACCACTTTGGAGAGTCATTCGTACTGCCGCCTTCGAAATAAACAGCAGAACAGAATTCAAACATCAAACATTGTTGGAGAAACAGTGAATTATTCATTCTGTTGGTACTGTAGCTACTTTTTCATAGGACGTTTTTAGTCATGTCCAGGTCTGATTTCCGCCACTGTGCTTCAGAAATCTGCTAAAATAAGCTAAATCTCAGTGGAAAGGTTTGAACACTCAAAAACATGAACTATGGAAAGTATGGATTTCGGTCCAGAAATATTTGAATAAGGTTCCTTAACAGATGTCTTGGCATCTCACTTCTGCCCATCCTACAAGAAGTGATCACACTTCAGTTAATCTCTAAAGTATATGCCTTCGGTTATATTTGGGAAAGTTGTAGTGACCTACTTTTATCAAGAGAACGCGATTGGTTTAATGGAAACAATTATTATAACCAATTGTACCCGTGATTGTTTAACTGTACTAAAAACATCCATTATTCTTCCATTACTCTCTTCCATTGATTGTGACCTTGTACGCTCTTACGTTTGCCCACTGATTACACTCGTATTTCTTTGGCACGATCCTCATATTCTTTCGACACTAAGAGATCGCCAACGAATATATCTCGTTACAACCTGCAACCGCCATCCGATTTCTGGTGCGCAGCCCTCTTGTAATGGTGCTCATAGTCAAACGCGACTCGACGCCACACTACAAAATAAAAAGTCTCTTTATACCATAATAAAATCATTCTAGGCTGTCAGACTAACCCACGTGAATCTGTGAGAAAGGTATAGAGTTGCCAAGGAGTAGGAGCCGTCTTTGAAAAATATTCTTCAAAACTAAACATGATGTATTTGTGCTCAAGTACAGAGTTATATGCATAACTGCCACCGCATGATCTTTTAATTTACACAGCAGCAAACCTATGATTTATTTAGTGCCACTTCATTCTACCGCTTGGTTTGGTTTCACCGTTATTGTATGGAAGCAAATTCGTAGTTAGAGACTTGTTGTCTATATCTGTTGTTAAGCAGCTTGAAAATTCAGGCGAAACACGAGTAACGCGCGTTTGAACTGAGAACTGTGGTCCGGTTAGTAGGACTCGTCAACAGAGTGTTCACTGGATGAGTCATTAGATTTTTACGACAGGGAATAATCGTAAACGTTTGGCTTACAACGATCTTTAAATGTCTCTCATGTTAAAACGCATGTAAATAATGCAACTAGATCGATAAGAATGATTGGCACCGGTAGTTACAAGTTGTGACGGAGACATATCACCTAATGTTTCCCTCTGGAAAAGCATCTGCATTCTTTGACTGACCGACAAAAATAAACAGTTTATTATCTCACGTCTTAAAATAATGTGTAGTTATGACATCGGGGGACTCGAAACTAAGTCACGAACTTCGTTGTCATCTAAAGAAGAGAGAAATGTCGGTTGAATGACATGTCACTTCGGGTCCCATAGCCTGATGGGGAATTACCAACTCGTTCGGTGTTTGATCATTTTTGTATGATCAATGAACACCACTGCTCAATCAATATCCAGAGATAGTCTATAAATGTCACATACTTTGTTAGCTTTTCTTAGCATCATTTAACATCTTTCCACAGATTATCGTACACGATTTATTTTCGATGCTGTCTACATGAACTCAGAGCTAGTAAGAGAATGGAAGGTAAAAAAATCGAGACATGAATAACTCAAAGGGTGTCATGGACAGGCAACCAAACACCACGCTGGTGGGGCACTACTTTCCCATGCTCTGTCTAGCTACCAGGTGTTTACTCATCGGTCTGATGAGTCGTTCTAAGGTCAAAAAGGAAGAATCTATTTCGGAAAAAGAAGCAGATAAATTCAGTCGAACCCGAATAAATTAACAGTGTTTGTATAAAATAATCAGATACACAAACTGAATGTTCAGTTAAACATTAATGTTTGGTCTCGCAGTACATCTTGGGCACGAGTACTCATTAAAATAGGACGTCCTCAGAAAAGTTAAAAAAACTCAGAGCTGAATCCCAGGTTCGAATAGGCTTCTTAAGATTCGTGATATGATAGAACGTTTATAGACTAACCATTCGGTTGGCTTTATGTTGACATGTCTACCATAATGAAGCCATATTTCCTAAAGCCACTTGAGAACCGGGTTGTTTTTCACCTTACAAGTGTACATATTCTATTAGTCACAAATATTGCCAATAATCGATTAGTGTAGGGAAATATTAGAGTTAGGCCTACTACGACTGGATGAGGTTTATCTGCCAAGTACTAATCTAGCGTTCAGAATGACAATGATACGAGTGCGTGTGTGAGCAGTGTTATTGTTCACGAAACCTGCACTCATATACGATGTTCGCTGATTCCAGGTTGCTCATATATGAGAAAAAGGTACAAAGATACTTGGTAGGTTCTCAAACTTAGGTGCCTTCTGCAGTTCATATGCACTATTGACTATTCTTGTGGTTAACGAAATATGAGTTCATATGAGCGAAATAACTGTCTTTAGATTTTTGTAATTTATAGTGGGAATATTGTAAGTATAAATCGTAACTTTAATGAACACTAATGTTATCAAACATAACAAAAAATTTAGCTGTGCAGTAAATATATTGGTTGCACACCGCGGTAATTTTGTCTTAGATCCTGAATGTTTTTAATGTTTCAGAATACATCTACGTTTATCAATTCAAAAATGTTAGCAAGTAAAATGAATGTTTTGAAAAAGGTGGTGTGACGACCGAAATAGCAATATTCGGTTTGCATTCCGAACTAACGAACCAAACTTTATTCGAGCAAGTCAAACTACGTTCTCCTGTACGGCGTCCGAAACATTTTTGAGTGACTCGTATCAACTTAATTCAAAACACAAACGCTGCGTCCGGTTTAGACGATTATAATTTACGAGCGAGGACAAATCATATCGCAATACCCCGAAAGGTATAACCTGTGATTTATAGTCAAAGGTTTCTCTAACGCAAATTTAAGCGCTAAACAAAAAAGGAATAGCTAATAAATAATAATTCGATTACCGAGAATCAATAAGAACATTCTTAACACGATGGGATCCGATATTCATCTTCAGGGATTCCAGCAAACTTTCCAAGCAGACAATAAAAAATTAACAGCAATACAATGACCTTGATTTTAACCAGACATGACTTTATTGTCAATAGTTCGGGAAGATGCAACAGTAAATTAAGTAATGAAAGGTAAATCTTTGACCGAGACCAGATAAGCAAAACCTCAACACGAAAGACTGAAGAACATTATGTGTGGTTAAAACGAGACGTAAATGAAGGTTAAGATACAAGACAGGGAGAAGGAACAAATGAATGACAACAGTGTCCGATGAAATGCTGTGAAGGCATTTTTAGCGTTTTCTTTCCGTAACAGTAAGTTGGTTTAAGTTGCCTCATTAAATTACAAATCATGTTCCAGAAATACTTGTAATCGTAGCGCATGGTATTTATGACAGTGGAAATGAGAACCAATATTCGGTGTTGTGTTGTTGTTTAATCTAAAATTCTTCATCTAAAAACAATATACATTTGTACAGTAGTATCTTGTCTTGTTAAATAACTGAATGTATCTCACTAAAAAAGAGCTTTGGAGTGATGCTTCCATGATATTATATATGATTAGTCTAAATGAATTAAAACGATGCACAAAAATGATAGATCACCTAGTAAACTATTGGAAGTAGTCTGATTTGCCTTCAAAGTTAGTCGTTGTTACAAGAATTCACCGTATGGGTTTATGGTAAATACAGACAAATATTTTGTCTGATGCATGTTACTCAATTTTATCACGGTTTCTCAGATTAGCCGAGAAATCTGGAAAGATAGCTAGTTCCACACGCTTTGCCTGCCAAGACCACTAGCTAAGTCGAAGATTCTTTTGGCGCGAAAATATGAAATTAAAATTTCCGAAATGAAGTTACAAAATTAAGACGTTTACCGAGTCAGTTCTAAGGATTTGTTATCCCCAACACCTCCCTTTTTAATAGCGTACGTTCTTTGGGTCTACATACATGTTGACTGTTCGTCTTTGTTGTCGTAATGACTGCCTGACGGAACGTAGATCGACTTGTCATTGTGCTTCTTCCCATACAGAGACTACGGGTAGAAAAAAAGTATCCAAAATGATATAGGGTGACAGATTTACTTCTGTCGATAGGCGATCTGGGACTAGCCGTTTATGTAGTTAATTTCAATACCTAGTCCACCTGTCACTTCCCACATCTACTTTTCACATGACTGAGGAGAATGAGTGAATTCACTCAGCACCAAAAAGACAGGTCTCATGTAGGAGAAACGAAAACATCATCATATCAAGAAAATATTTTATTTCAAATGTGATTTGTGCATATAATCTCCACGTTAAATATACATTTCAACTTAACAGGTGAGCCCGTTATTTTTCCTATTATTATTTTTGGCAAGTATTACATTTTGGTTGGTGGAGCTCACGAAGAGGTGGAAATTATCACATAATTAGACATCATAAGCAGTGAATAAGGAGGGTCTGATTGATATGTGAATTCAAGTATTGGCAATACAAGTGCAACGTTCTTACAATTAGTGTATCTGAAACTCTACTATTAAGATTATTACAGTCTCCACAAGACTCTAATTCTGATAACTGTCATCATGTGCTTACTAGTGTGTGACTTCAAGCTGATTTCTTGGGGTTCTAATTAGAAGCCGTGACCAGTGAATTCCGATCTGTGTCGGGTAGAGACAGGTATCTATCTCAGACGATAGATGAATAGTTGCGCAAGATCATGGGTCGATTTAAGTTAGACATTCACACCGCTGGATGCTGGCTGAGTGGTCTAGAGGTTAGGCGTTCGCGTGCGAGACTAAGGTACTTTGGAACATCACTTACCAAACGAACGATTCGTTTTCGTGATCACATAGCAACACCATCTATTTGTCTGTGAAAATTTCTACCGAACTGAAAATGCAGATTCATCTGAGGATCAGTTCTTTAAATAAAGAAATCGGAGTTCTATTTCCTCTGATTTTTTCAGCAGGTTTTGATTGTACACAAAACATAATGTCCCTAGTAAGTCTACTTTGAGTAAAAAACACACTTAGGGATGCTATGAAACTGGTCGTAACTACCAGAGTGGTATGCGCTACTTATGCGTATAGATACAAGTAGTATGTAGTAGGAACTCAAATGCTAACCAGCAAGGGATTCGATCAAAGAAAGGAGGAACAAAAACAGAACTTGGTAAAAATAACAACGGAATTGGGAGAAAAATGGAGCATGTAGAAATAGATATGTAAATCATGTACTTAATGAATGATCTTGATATTTTACAGAGACACTGGTTGGTTCAACGAACGCGACCCTCGATTATTTCAGCATTTGTACTAGCCATCTCGTAATAGGCAGAATTAGTCGTAAACAATACCTTCCTTCCGTCACATCACTAGATATTACGCAGACTATCAATCCTGAGTGTTCAGATTAATGTGCTTTTCAATAAATACCTTTAAGAATTAGTTATTTCATCCACTTAATGTTTCAGCTACCTTGTTAATCATATGTAAGTGTTGTCACACTTCCAAATCTACGATCCAGACTATTCATAAAAACTACACTGTATCCTATTTTCACCAATATTTTCTTATCAAATCACAGCCTAATTTTAGATCTGTTGTCAAGACGAAATGTAATAACGGTAGGCAAAATGTTATACATATAGGGGTTTGTCACCTGCATACTCGACACAGTTCTCGGTGCATGAATTACCAAGCCGCGCTTGTCTCAACATTAATTGATAATTCGTTTGATATATTACGGTAGTTATGTCATTTTAATTATGGTATGTGATGGCATGGAACCATTGTAATTTTTTGAGTAATATTTGTTTGTGTACTCAAGACCGGTTTGAAATATTGACGGTAAGGTCATAATAATAGTGCATGAGACGTGGTACTCACGAGACGAATGCGTCCATTGGAATATTGTTGTATTTATAACTTTTAATTATTCCTAAAGCTGCTACTGGGATCTAAAGATTTAATGTTAAAGTTGCTGTTTATAAACTTATAAAAATAAAATTGATAAGATATCCGACTAAGTTGTGACTACAAATGTACGTAATCCACCTCCAAGCAATTAACAAAATGAAAATGGACTTAGTCCATTCATCTGACATCTAAAATTGCAAACTTAGGAGTATTGCTAACTGCATAGTATAGCTATCAAGACACACTTAGTCATCTATAAGTAATCAGTTTACTAACAAAATTACGTGAAAAAGTGTGTGCGCTTAGTATTAGGAGTATAATAATCATCTAGAATTCTACTACGCAGCATAATCTGTATGCGATATGAATTCGTAATACAAATATTTTATGTCACCCTAGTAGTTTAGTTAAATATTTTGGAGACTGATAATTATTACGCATAAACGAATATAAAATAAGAAATTAAATTACTTACAATGATTAGTGTGTAATCAGATTTTCCTTTATGAAAAGCAATATGCTGTTTTAATTCATTCGGAGCTCCCAAATGCCATGGTACGGCCGAGGGTGGGGAGAATCTGCTCTATCTCTCGAAATACTCACACATGGATATGTGCATAGTCTCTTCCAGGGAAGTCCTATGAAAATGAGAAGACGAAAAGCGAATGTCCGGCACTTTAACCATGTTGATGATTACGGATGATCCACTTAGGGGAGTTGGAAAACCTTGACCCCAAACCAATAGTGCACATGGGTTCCAGGATCCTGAAGGGATAAGTGGCATATGAACCTATTGTTGGTCACTGGCTACCATGGGATGGCATCTCCTAACGTTGATCCACTGCCTTGTGGATCAAACCTTTAGGTCGAAGGCTCCGGATGTGGCACCCTAAAATACCACCTGGGTACCCAGGCAGTATCACAACCCACATACAAATCAAGTGAATTGTGTGGCGCATATGTATTCGGTATCCTTTTGTAGCAATATTTACGTGTTCAAATACATAAATAAATTCGGAAATATAATTATATATAATACTAAGCTGTTAAAGTCAGTATTTTAAGAAAACAAACAAATATTTTAGACAAAATTATGTTGACGAAGACTTAAATGCACCATAATTATGTAAGAAGGGGAATTCTTTAAATAAAATTGTCATAACGATAAAAGTAAAGACTGAATTGTAGAACTAAGAAGAAATGGAGGAAGAGAACTGAGATAGAAAAGACGTAATTAAAGAAAATTGACGAAACAGTATGGGAAAAATATGAAATATTTTCATGGCACTTTAACAAACACGTTGAAAAAGTAATTCGACAAGAAAAGTAAACAAATCCCTAGGATCAAAAGAAAAGTGATCACGGTACATAAACTTCTGAATGTTATTCATAATCTCTGATTTAGTTTGTTCTTCGTACAAGTAATACTTCTCTGGTAATTTGATCGCACCATAGAGATTGCGAACAGTCTGTTGCGACTTAAGATCGGGTTTACCATAATTTGTCTACAGTTAGAAACATGTATATAAGATGATTAAATACACAATTTTGACAGTCAGTAAAACAAAATAAATTCAGTTCTGCCATGTAAATTTAATAAAATAAAATAAAAATAATGGTCTAAGCAATAATAAACGTTGCTTATTTGCCGCATCACACAACACAACACCAACATTTCATCTATGATTTGACAATACTACTTGTATACGTCAAAACCCAAGCATTTGACTAAATCTTGACAACTGAATAACTGGTGGCATATATTATGAATCGATAATATGTGTTATACTGCCCAATCAAAATTCCGATTACAGATTAGTTCACCCATATTCCCAATAGGACAGGTGACTTAATAATTACCAAGACACACTGACTAATGAACAACACCCAAGACCTCAATGCTTATTGACCGTCGAGCTCCATCTAACCCAGTAGCCAATTAGGAGACGCGTATAGAAAGTAGATTTATTATCTATTGTGCTCAATTCAATTATCACTCAAAACTCACTCAATAATATACTTGAAATGCCTGACCATACAGCACAAAAAATAAGAGATTATATTTTAAGCACAATCATGCCGTAAATGGCAGAGAGCAAGGTTAATAATGCATAATTAATTGATAATAATTGAGAAACGGGAGGATTCAAAACAATGGTTACTAGGTCTACTGGGAGATCACAATAAGGGGAATATACAAATGCAACAATAAAAATATAAGTAATGATTGGAAAACTGGTTCCAACATTTACAACTTTTCCAATATTCGTACCAGTATAAAAGTATACGAATACCAAGATGAACGGAGTGATGACTAGATTCTTATCATTTTCATTCAGAAATTAGTGATGGATAGTTGTTTTTGTTCATGTACAGGCATTAACATCATGAAAGACTGAAAACATACAATCCAGGTATTCAATAACATAAGGTGATTGGTTAAATTAGAAGTATATTGGTTCGTGAATATTGACGAAGAACATAGGAATGGAATAAAATATGGTAAATTTACAATATTCAATAATAGACCACATAGCATAAAAAGATTTTCGACTATAGTTCCTTAAATTTACTAAAGGACTTCATTTGAATGTTTGAAGATTGTAGTTTTATCTACACATTAAAAGTATTCGAACTAGGGTATGACAAAACGAAGATTCCGTGTGACCTGTGCGGGAATAACTAAGAAATGGAAGTGTTTAAGAACGTAAAAAGCTACAAAATACAACCTGACACATGAATCACAGGAAAGACCAAAATTTTGAAAATGGCGTAAATAAAGTTACTTGACTAACTAAGATAGTTACCGTAAAATTTTAATTAAAACTTGCAAGCGGTACACAACAATTTTGGATGGACTAAGTGTAGGTAAGCAGTATAATTTCATATGATTTTGATAAAGCATCAGCTAGTTCAGAAGTAAATTTAAAAAAGAAACTAATAAAATGCTATCCATAAAAGTAGGAACGAATAAGAGAAACAGTTGGAACAAAACTAGACATTGGCCAAATATCACATACTCATAGAATATGTCTTGGGAATAGCAGTCGCAATCTCATTATGCATATATCGATGTCAACAAAATTATGACTATTTTAGGATATACGTAAGTGTTTTGTACTGACATGGACCAATACGCAAAATAATGATCACTGTAGTTATCGATAGATCATAGGGATTTGCTTTTAGAAACGGGTGTGAGGAATATGGGTAACAGACAGACGCAAACACAGCTAGGAAATAAATTGTCATAAATTCACAAAAAAAGACCAGTTTGGTGCGTCAAAGTGAACCAAATTCAAATATAATATGAGGGCACATCTCGCGTTCTGACAAGGCGACCGTAAACAAAGTTATGAAGAAACCATTGGATGTTCAATGACTTGGTAATAAACGTGAATACTTCCAGTACTAATTAATGTTAATAATGAATAAAGACATCGTATTCTTTTACTTAACCTCAAGTTTCCCAAGTTTAGACTCATCGAGATTTATTAAATATGCAGCTGCTGTGTATAGACATAACACTGAAAACAGGAAGACAAAACACCGAAAATATCAATAACCCTATTATGGGCACAAAGTAGTGATACGGTGGAAAAACGATAAATGTAAAATTATGGTAAGTAGTAATCTATTAGTAATTATTGGAAGTCTATTCATACTCAATAACAACTTCCCATTAGGGTTGATTTGTAAAGTGACACCTTCAAGCTTAAATGAAAGCAAACCATTTGTCATCGTCATTTATCTTTACAAGCGTACTTCTACATGTTAACTGATTAACCAGACGTTCACCATTTTTCTTTTGATGGATAGGTGTTATGGTAGATTGAAGGCATTCAAAAGTAAATTTCGTAAAAGTTAACTTAATAAGCAGCAGCTCAATTCCGTAGTTGACTTGATAAATATATTATAAAATAACAATAGTCACAAGGTGCTTGGGATATCTTATTCAATATTTATAACCGACTTTATATTATTACACAGTCGGGTGTCTTATACTTTGATGATTAATACCTCGTGATAAAACGTAGCTGAAGGTGTATAACCAACATATAATATATGAAGTAATCCACAATAAGAAACATATCTACGATCATACAATAAAAAAGAGATAATGGTGGGATGTAACAATCCAAAAAATACAAACTCAATTTATTTCGACGATAAGATAATTTTAAAATGAAAGAAAATTCCTTTTACTTTAAGTATTTTATATTGTTCAGGTGAAAGGTATTTTAACGCTTCAACAATTAGCCATGTACATTTGCCTTCTGCTATATCAGTCCCAACTTTTCCAGTAATTTTACTGTCACCAAAACAATCTAAATAGTCATCCTATTGTGAAATGACTTTAAAGTATTTTAGTTACCTGGGCTTGAAAGTAGTTACCCAATTTAAGGAGGATGTATTGAACATTTTCGAAAATATCATCTGTATCATCAACTTCAGCCTATTTTTAAGAAAAAAATTTCAAAGAACAGTGTATATTAAACAGAATGCTATTACTTCTTTGATGTTAACAAACAAGATGAAAGACAAGAAGTATAACCACCGTTTTTAATCGGTTTATTCAACTTGAATAATGAATGAAAATATATAAAATTTTGAAGGCAGCATTTATGAAATAATACTGAAATCCTTTCTTCTGTTGAGAAGAATGAGGATCTCAGCTGCTCAGTATGTAGGTAATCTACTATGAAGGTTCTAATAAGTTATGGGACTTGTTAATAGCAGTAATATAATGACCATTTATGATATGGGATCACAGGTCCTTATATGCTAATAACGTAAAAAGGCGTAGTTCAGTGGTTAAAGCTTCTGACTCTCAGCCGCTAGATTGCAGGTTTGAACGCCACTCTATCTATTTCAGTTCGAGCAGCTAGGCAGCTTTACTAGTCTTCAGACGTAGAATGGGACTCGGAACGAAGGACAAAAACTTGTGGTTGGTAAGTTGAATTGAATAAATGGGAAA